GCCTATTGCCGTGCCACAACTAATGGTTAACTGACTGAGCTTTCTTATTTCAACCATTTAGTAGAGGGTTTACAAAAATCATTGAATTATAAATTTTCAGAATCTATTTGCAGGAAGAATTCAAATTTTTTTTTTTCATTTCAAATCCCAACAAATTTTCTTTTTCAATCTAAAGTCAGCTTTACCTTACATTTTTAAAAAAGGAAAAAATCTTATTAAATTTATTAAACAATAGCCTTTTTCAAGAAACAAAAACATAATTTAGTTGTTTACATGTTTATACCAACAAATCAATATTACAGATTTACAAGTTTTAAATACAATTACAAACTGTACTATGTACATGTTTTATCACTGGATTAATTTGAATTATTATTGATATTAGTATATTTCCTAAAAATGTATTTTGCTCATTTTTAAATGAAAAACCTTTTATTGTTTACATATACAAAAAAAAATTAATTTCAACAGAGTTAAGTATACTGATGCAAAATTACATAATTTTCAATGAATTTCTAAAAAATGTCATTTTTTTATCAAAAAGCATTAAATCAGTATTCAAAACATAACACATAAACAATAAATTTTCTATAAAAACAAAATTATGAAATTTGACAATTATTATCACAGGAATTTACATGAAATTAAATCTCACAACCATAGAAGTAAAAATTAAAAATATGGCTGAGGTCAATACACGTACACGACTTTTAAATGACGACCTAAATAATGATTCATGTGTACACAATCTAATACATTATGTGTTTTGGTGTACCACAAACATGATCCATTTGTAACACAGTCTAATACATTATGTGTTAAAAGTGTAGCACAAACATGATCCATTAGTACACAATATAGCATATTATGTATTCTGGTGTACCACAAACATGATCCATTTGTATACAGTCTGATACATTATGTGTTCTTGTGTACCAAAAACATGGTTCATGTATAAACATTTTTTTACTTCATGTGTTCTGGTGTACCACAAACATGATCTATTTGTATACAGTCTGATACATTATGTGTTCTTGTGTACCAAAAACATGGTTCATGTATACACATTTTTTTACTTCATGTGTTCTGGAGTACCACAAACATGTGAAAATATTTTCTCTAAAGAATAGCATAGCCCACACATTGAACAACGGATTTGTCTGACACGTTTCCTGGATTTTTTAGATTTTAATTCAGGATTATCCAGAGGAATTATTTCTGGACTCGACCCATCGTCAGAGATTTGAATACAATCTGGATCAGAAGAGTCTTCATCATCAAGAATTTCAATTACATCTTCTTCTGCTTCTTCCACAGTGGTTGCAGCTATGTTTTGAGGCTGATCCATCAAAATCACTTCTGGACTTTTCTCTTTATTATTTCTAATACAAAATCAAGGTTTAGGAATTAAAGAAAAATATTACATTGCTGTTCTTTATAATGCGGATTATCATAGTAACTGATGGAAGGCTTAAAAACCAACATTTCTGGAGATATTAAAGATTTCTTTTAAATTTCAAATTATCAAATAACAACTATCAAATTGTCTATTTCTGAATGAAATCATTCATTTCTCCGATAATTATGAAAAAAAGCAGATCACAGTTTGAAAATGTCAAGACTAGGACTATTTTGCGATTATGGTTTCATGAAAATTAGATTGCCAAACAAATGCCGCAACTTATTTCTAAGGCCAAAGACGACTTTCAAGTCTTCCCTCAATTAATTACCTTAAATGGCTGATTGCTTTATCACAGATAAATAACACCTCTTCGGTCAACTTGGGTTCCATGTTTTCGTCATCAGAAGTATTGTTTAAATTTTTGATATGTTTAGTGGCTTGATCTTCATCATCTTCTAGAATAAATATCTCCTCCTCATCAGCTGTATCTGAATCATCTTCAAATATGGTTTCCCCAGTACACCTGCAAAACAGAGAGAAATTTATATTACCAGTTTTGTACAAAATTACTACAAATTAATATGTTATGTACTGCACAAATTGCAAAAACAGAGAGATCAGTAAGGAGGACTTCGATCTCAACATTAACAACATGCAGGCGGAGTTGGACAACCTCAAGGTAGGCTAGTGCATGAATTTCATGACAAAAGAAATACTTATAAGTGTTTTTAATTAAAATCAGGTGACCTGGTAAAAATCATTTGTAAAATATCTGTAGAAAATGTTTTTTTTAAAATTAAAACTTTGCTTTTTAAATGTGTGCTGAAGTTTATATTTTTTTCCACGGAAACATTACAGGGGTTTTAACAAAGGTTTTATTACATAGCACACCAACCCACTGCATTGAAGACCCCCGGATTT